AAACCGCAAGCGGAAAGCTAGCGACAAATAAAACAGTTTAAACTTATAATACAAGTTTACAGACGCGGGAAGTGTGAGATAAACGTTCAAAAGCCACGATCGTTACCATATAGAGACGCCATAATGTAATATTTCTAGCTACCGATTCTAAGAACGATCAAAACTTCTAACACGTGTATGAATGTACACCTAGAGGTACAGTCGAGTAAAAAGTAATAATTTCTTTAGAAATATTTTTAACAATTAAACGAGAATTATAATGAATAATAATTGTTAATAGCTAATAATAATAGTATTTTTACTATTAACAGTCCTTATTTCATTCAAATTCTCATTATTAGATAAAAATATCTGTTTAAATTATATCATTCTCTCAAGTAAGTAATTACTTCTTTCAACCATAGTAGATATGAGTATTAGATTAAATAACGTTCATTTTTCTGAGAATCATTCGCCTAACATGCAAATCCAACATTCGCTCAGGTTGACTGGTAGAGAATGCCCTTGGCATTAAGTCCGACATTTGTATTTTTTTTTATTTAATGCAATAAAGAGTAAATAAATAAATAAATAATTTCAATAGGATATAAAAAAATATCATTGTGTTACTTAGTTATCATTTTCTATTAGAAACAAGGTCCGAACGATAAGTAATACTTATGTTGATACATACTTGAAATCGGTAAAAGCTTGTAAAAATTCGTTCTATATGTAAATGAATTTTAACGATAGTATAAATGTCTTTTCACACTCTTTTCTTTATAAAAATAATGTACATGTGTTAACTCTTCACGCATACATTGCATACAGATAGTTATTAGCCCATTATAACCACCTAAGGTTTCTCCAATAAAAACTAAAAACAAAAGGGCAGGCAAAATTGTGGGTAGAAACTACTTAGATAACGAAATAATCAAGGTAAATTAAAGAAACTAGTATAGAATAAAACATGTATTTAATATTATGTATACCTAATTCCAGAATCCCGTTTCAAGAATTCCTAGTTTCTCATGCTTATCCAATAGAAATTAATAGGGAAATAAAACCGGTTGGTCTCATACATAATGTTTGCGAATAACAGTAAATTAGTTGCCAGGATATTCTTACTTCTATGTTATGAGATGGAAAACGTAATGTTATTTTTTTTCTGGACAGTAGGCAGTTTATATTTGTACCTTCTTCGATTCTTAACATGATGTTTAATTGAAAAAGTCACTGATATTCATCCGTTTTTTTACAAAAAAAGAACGTCGTTTTCAATGTTTTGTTGTCTTCATTGAAGGTTTCTGTGTCTTGCACATGTATTCGGTTGGGGAAAACTTCTCTTTTCGCATAAACTATGGTTAAATTTGTAATAAAATCTTTCAAAGATTACCATTTGTATCTGGCTGGCTTCGATATCAATAAAAAGTTTAAATTTTAAAGAACGTAACCCCGAATTCAAATTAGGATATTGTGCGATTTTCATTTGTTTTTCTTACAGTCAAACTGAGTGAATCTAACGATGAAATTCGATATATTTTTTAAATATTATTACAAAAAAGGTAAAAATGCAACGAAAAAAATTGTCACGTTTACTGCGAACAACTGATGGGATTAATGTAAGAAGTTGAGAGAAAGCGGCCAGTATTAAGCAATAGAAGGATTGTGGATTTTTAACATAATAACACTAGAGCTCCCACATTTTTTTCCACTCAGCAAAAATTAAGAGAGAATGGCTGGGAGGTATTACTGCATTCGCCGTATAGTCTTGACTTTGCACCTTAGGATTTCCACCTGTATCGTTATTTTCGGTTTTTAGGCAGTGTGGTTAGTTTTTGCGGTTTTTATCAGAAGCCTCAAAATTTCTATAGTGATGGAATCATGTCCCTATTTAGAAGATGGTAAAAAGTTATCGAACAAAATGTTACCTACACGATTGAGTTAAATGTTAATAAGTAAACTGTATTAGAAAATGTTTTGAATTTTCATATAAAATGCGAAGAAATTTTCCTCAACCTATTAAAAATGTTTTTATGTAGGTAAATGCATTTCTATTTACTTTTTCATTCTCAACACAAACACATATTGTACAAAAATGCAACTTACTTTCATAGATAGAGATAGAAATAAAGAAGTATTATTATAGACTAAATAATTCTAAAAGGTTCTAATGAGCTGTAATTGAATGAGAAGTCTACATTATATTTGTAATGGGCTGCACCTGCATTTATCGCCACCAAGCTTCTATGACACGTGAGACCAACCTTTATCAGTAAACATACATCAGGAGATACTAAAACCCTTTGTAGCGTGCTAACATATCGCACATTCATATTCAAAGAATTTTCATGAAAATAATTGAACCGCTCTTAGGATGAGTATTTGAATTTGATTTACTTTTTTCAAATAATTTTAGTTAACTACAATTTAGTCCTACCGTTATTAATTTCATTTTACGTTTACCGTGCTTCTTGCAAAAAATATATAAACAAAAGTTTTGCCAAAATCGTACCATAGGTAAGTTTTTGAAAAAATATAATGCAAGAATATTTCATTTGCTTTTTTAAGTCGTGCAGCTGGATTCGCGACTTTAAAACCTTTATAGTTTAGAATACAATGAAAATAATACATTTGGTAAGATAAACCTCAGACGAAACAACAGGCTTCTTAAACAATATACTAAAATATTTGTGTACAATTATACATATTTTAATTTTAAACAACTAATTGTGTTGGACACTCTATCGGTCAGTTGCACAAACGTCCATTAAGATTTAATGACGTCTTTAAACTCTAATTAATGTCAAATTTGTATGGGTAATGTCGCTTTAAACTAATGAAAATTTTAATAGACGTTTGTGCAACTGGCTATTAGACTTGTCGCTTAATGAGGAAGTAGGTATTAAAAAAAAAGAAAGCACTAAAACGGCAACTCCACTAGATAGTGACTCTAGCAAAAGTTGATTTTTGCAGGAAACGAATGGACCAAAGATAGTCATTTCCGTTCCTTTTAACTAATATGTACTATAATAAAAAAACAGAAATATGCAAAGTTCGGAACCTAGATATCAACACAAAAATACGAAAAAGTACAAATAGAATATGAGTTGTTTATTGAGTTTTGAAAACTATTTTACTTTTATACATGAAAGAAAACCGGAAGGGTTGTCATGGAGAAATCAAGAAAGTACCGTAGCGATATCTAGTTTAATTTCAGGGACTATTTTTTTTAAATAAAATTTAGCCTATAGTACTTGCTGATAATGGCTTATTAGAAAAAAAAATCCTGCATTTTTTGTGTTTATCCTTTACAAAAAAAACAAACACCTTACGTTTGTTGTGTTTGTGTTTCTGCTTTAAAAGGCAAGTTAATGGACAATTAAGGTAGATGCGCTTAAAAAGGCCGGTCCCATATAACGTAAACATTTTCTAACTTCCCACTAAATCAAAATGGACATCCCCAGGAATCAATCATAAAAGCGCTCTGATGTTCATTTTCTGTATGTAGTGGCTGTATGTATAACCCCAGGATCGGTACACGTAACTCAATTTCTAAAATATCTAATTCCATGTTGCGTAGATTTACTAATAAAACGGTTTTTATGTTACGTTAAAATTCTGCATTAGTTACGTTAAAATACTTCCAGAACGTGGATTGATGGAGTGTGTTACCAAAATTAATTAATGCTTTTTTTAATCTCTATTTTGGTTGGTTTTCTCAGGGACATAATATAAGTACCTGAAATGAAGATATATATGTATATTATATAAGTACATAGATATAGTATACTTTTTAAATCTTTGGCTGCAGTTTTTGCCACATTTATTATTGGGAAAAAGTCTAGACTATGGTCAAAGAAGTGTCAATAAGGTCCAAAAATTAGGACTGAAAAAATAACTTATAATAACTAATAAGAAACATTTTGTGATATTCTCTACATGAATTAATAAAAAACAGAATAAAACTACAATTTGTTTCATTTATAAATAAAAAATAGATCAGTTAGAACATATATACGTTTCCTAATACTTAGGTACTTTATAAGAGCAACGACATTAATTTATTTGAATTTCCGTTTCATTATTCGGAAGACACGAAGCAAATATTTATTTAAAGTCATTATTTTCTAAAAAAATATTTTTTTGGTATACAATCCCTTAAATCATGCAGTTCAATGATGGTCCTTATTTAGAGCGCCAGTGCTCATTAAGGACCTTAAACAAGCTTTTAAAAAACTTTTTTGTAAGTAATAGATTTTTGATTACGATGTCTTATAAATTAAAACACTTCTCAAAATTAATTTATAAGGATTTCCTAAAACTAGGCCCTTATCAAAATAAATATAACTCAAAGGTGACTGACTGACGTAGTGATCTATCAACGCACAGCTCAAACCACTGGACGGATCGGGCTGAAATTTGGCATAGAGGTAGATGTTATGACGTAGGCATCAGCTAAGAAAGGATTTTGATCAATTCTACCCCCTCCTTAACCATCCATAAGGAAGGCCTGAGCCCCTGCAGTGGGGACGTAAAAGGGCTGGTGATGGCTACCCCCAAGGGGATAAAATAGGGGATGAAAGTTTATATGAAACTTTGTCAATTTTAAACCGATCTGGCTGAGACTTTGCATGCATAAAGCTACTATGACGTAGGCATCCCCTAAGAAAGATTTTGATATATTACACCCTTAAGGGGATAAAATAGGGGATGAAACTTTATTTCAGGTTTTCTACACGATATATTGAATATATATTCGTTAGAAATGCTGCTCAGAGTATCTTTACCACGCGGACGAAGTCGCGGGCATAAGCTAGTTAGATATATTTACATACCTTAGTTAACATACTAAGAAGAATATACTAGGTAAACTTAGTTGATATTTGTAAACAAAGAATTGAAGTTTCTAAGATAGTTTTCAGCGCCATCTGATGTACATTAAATCCCGAGCTTATGATATCGATAAAACAGTAGGTATAGAAAAGTGGCGCCAGTGCTGCTTTACCGACAGCACATTGACGAGCTGTCATGGCGTTTTGAAGTGTACAGTTTTGTGCACAGTAAAACATAAATAATGATTCTTAGGCGAATTATTTCTTTAATATATGTGAAATTATTTTGTGGATACTCTAAAGTATCATGATTAACGTGTGTTTGTAATAATTACACGTAAGTGCGAGTTACAATGGACAAGAAAAATGCAATTCGAAGAGCCAAAAGGCAGTCGAAAGTGCTTGAAGAAAATTATTGGGATTGCAGCGTTTGTACGTACAGAAATAACGCAGAAGCCTTTAAGTGTTCTATGTGCGACGTTAGAAAAGGTAATTCAAAAAGCTGGTTTATGTTTAATCATTCCTTTGTCTTACATTTTCGTGCGTAGGCATTTCTTACCTTACATCGATTTTTTATTCGTGAGACTAGGGTTTTCTCGACTAAACATTAATTCAGAAAAGCCACGTATGAAAAATATTACAAGTTAGCATGAAATTTTACACTATTTCGTGATTTTTCTAAAAATGAATGTATGACATCTGTTTTGTGGGTAAATCATAAAAGAGCCAGGTTATTATGGAACGATACATTAAATCCTAATCAATTTTTACAATTGTTAATATCATTAAAATAAAACTCAATTAACCTTGTTTAAACCCACACAAGTTACCCTAAAAAAATGAATGTACCCTTAAAATATTAGTATTCCAAAGTATGTTCTGTACAATGTATTGATTTTTTAAATTTTCTAAACTGTTATTAAAAAATAACAAATAACGTTTATATTATAGCTACAAAGGCATAAGGCACTATTTGTACAGTTATTACATTAACAAACTAACATATAATTCATTAGTATTTTGGACTAAACACTCCCACAAAAATAAAGTATGCAAGTTAGATAGTAATTATTTATTATTTTTTAATAATAATTTTATATTTGAAATAGTAATAATACCAGTTGTATATTTTAGGAATAAGAAAAAAAAGCAAGTTTTAATGTTCAGTTTTAAAACTGAACTGAATAATGATAACTCATTTGCATTAAGATGTTAAGTATGTAAAGAAGTTATTTGTAAATATCATTATTAAATTATTCCTTTATAATGTAAACATCTCATTATATAGTTAATGTCTTATTATAGTAAATTTAATTTATAGTGTCCTCATTTATTCATCTGCATGGATCTTTTAAAAGGTTAAAAATAAACAGCACTGTTTCGTTTCATTAAGAAATTTACCCATTTAAAATTTACCATTCAGATATTGTTTATAAATCATTTTTGGATAACACTTAAATTATGAGATGCTCATCAATTTCTTTTCTGTTTTTGTGTTCCCAAAAGTGGAAAATAGTCATTGTGAGGCGAGTGTAGATAGATGACTATATTTTTATACATGATAGAATTCTATCTTTTTTGCATTTATCAGTCAAATCACACAAAGGGTTAAAACATGTTTATTTTATAAGCGAAGAGTTCGTTTTCAGCTTTGACCCATTAAATTAAATATGGATTAGGTTAAATATGTGCAACAAACTAAGTGAATTGGAGTGATTAATAATTATGGTTAATAAGTTGCTTAATTAATTAATTGAAAGACTTAATTAAATGATACAATTCCAAATGGTTTTAGCGCATTCATATTTGTTTTCATGATGTGTTATCCTTCACAGGTTCCATGTTCACTTAAGACTTAAGGCTCCATGTTCTTAAGTGAACACAGAACATGTAAAGGTTCTGAAACATTATGAAAGGGAATATAAATGCGCTGAATCTATTAAAAGTTATTTCATTTTTTACTAGCATGCCTAAAAGTATAAGAGATTGCACGACTTGATTTTTATAATTAATTAATTGGATATCTTAATACTATAACTAATTGAGGGAATATTATATACACATTAATAGTTTAGTAATCAATAAAAAGTAATGAAAATATCTATGACAATAACACTATAGGTTTTTGTTGATATTCATTATGTACTTTAATTAAATTAAGAAAGATATGTACCCAACAAAATAATTCAAACTACATAATACATTCGCCATGAATCAATTTCAAAATAATAATTTATTATAACAATAAAAAAACATAAGTTCGTGATAGTTTTCTGCGTAGATACCTAATTACTGGCTAAATCTAAAACTGCCCTAGCCCATACTGTATAACCCGGCCGCGAAGAGTTGCGCTGTATGTTGCTGGCTGTGTTCAATTTTCCCGGTTTGCATCCGTTAACCTCTTCGTGACGTTACGTCTACTCGTGTATGCATACCTACACTTTCTATTTCGTTTGCACATTTTCGTATAGTTTTTGGTTTTATTTTTGATTTGTTAGAATTTTCAATTATTTAGGTATTTTTTATAATATTCCTGGTATCAGTTAATTTGTCATTGTGTTAATAGTTCTACATCGAGTTATCATCATATAAAGATACTTGATAATTAAAAAAGGCGTGACGTGCTTCCAAATGTGTCTAATATGAATTGTATTTCAAGTATTATACAAAAAACTATACAATTACGATTTTAAAAACATAAAAGTTTTTTTTTAACGCCGTTGTCGAATAATATTGAAATATGTCGTTCTGAAATAGAAATAAAAATCTAGAAATAGCCACATTTATATATATTTTTTATAATTATAGTGTAATTTATAGATAATTCGTAATATATCATCCTTTTCTTGTTAAATTTAAGCAAAAAAATATGTATCTCATCCTCCCGATTCAACGCTATCTACCTATAGGGAAGGCCTGAGTCTCAGAAATGGGGACGTTAATAAGCTGGTGATAATTAATGGAACCCGCGGCTTCATACAGCGACACCTTGAAACCGGCGTGCGAGCCACGGAGGTCGTTTAATAAAAATAGTGACCTGATTCTAGGAACTTGTTCTAGGAACAAATGAGTTTCGGTTAAGTTTAATATAAAATTATTTTATTTAAGGCACCCAAATCAGAAACAAATAATAATGTAAATAACGATTTGCTAAAATAAAAAAAAAATAAAAAAAGATTTCTACACTTAGTTATCTTAACGTATTTTTTCATCAGGAAAATTAAAAGACGTGCGATTAATTGCGTAGTCGAAGTGTACCATAGAGATATTATACATTAAATTTAATAATATAAGGTAATTATTAACAAAATATTTTTGACGCTCTATTTTTCGGTATACTTTGTCTGTCTCTGTTACTCTCATTGATTAGTTCCCAAAGTTGGTTGGGATTAAAACTTTAATCGTCAGAGCCACCTCTAACCTGCCTTAGCTTCTTGCCTTATGGACACCACATCAGATACACAATGATTTTCTATTGTATGTGTTGAATTAATGATTTTTTATTCTTTCTTAGAGAAAAAGAAGATATAAATCAGAAAAGCTCAGATTCTATAGTAGCAAGTCGAAGAAGCTGTCTTGTTTTTTATAATAATAGTAATAAAAACTGCATGCCTTTAACAGTGGGTAATCCCCCATAAGGGTACTGGTCATATAGTTTGGGAAATACTGGATTGAATTATTGATTTCGTCTTGTTTTTATATGCTCCTTTGACCTCTCACAATATATATATATGTACGTCGATTGATCCTAATAATTAATCGTTCTATTATTATAAAGAGAAAGTATTTGATTGTTTGTTTGCATTGAAAAAGCTCCCGAAACTACAGTTGATTTTAAAAATTCTTAAACTTACGGAAAGCTGCCTCATATTCGTGTGCCATAAATTTTAATTTACGTAGACGAAGTCACAGAAACCAGCTAGTTATATTATAATTATGTGTTGTAAAATGTAATTTTTTGTAGTCCAAACAACTTGGAAGGGAAGTTTCGAAACACTCCGCTCTGTAAATTCGAAAACTTCTCGAAGCCTCGTTTCAAAACCTTTACCCCCTTTGTTTTCATCCAACTTATAACCTCCATGTTGAGACCTCGAAAGAAATTCATCCGTATTGTGTGGTTAATAAGTTCTATAGTCGTCTACATGGGTATACCTCTTTGATATAGATCACAAAAGCGTTTTGGGAGACGTAGACCCTGATTTTCCACTTTCCCTTGGGCTATATCGAGTTAGGAACTTCCATTTTCAGGTGCACTGAAATCATTGTGTGCGTTGTAACTATTCAGGAGTTTGCGTTAGTATCCGAGGAAGTGTATCGTTACCAAAATATTTTAGTTTATGTATTCTTATTTGTTTTAGAAGTTGAATTCGTTATTTTTGCGAAATTATGAATTCATAAAAATATTACTTCCGAGCTTTCCCGTTTAGTAAGTTTGTATCTGGAAAAAATGTTTCGTTTTAATTAAATGATACTTAATCATACCCTAAATCAACCATAAGTCTGAAAGTGTTTAGGTAAATTTTGTATTAGATTACATTCAAAACTACATTAGGCAAATGTATTTAAGACTAAAAACATCATCCGAATTGACGACAGGCGATATAAGTTTTTATGTTTTTCCTTAACTTCTAGTAAGTAATTAAAGTTTAAATTTAATATCTATTAATTTTCAAAAGGTACTTCTACGCGAAAACCTCGCATCAACCCAGCGTTGGTGGCGGCTCAGGCCGCTGGTACAGCTCCTACTAGTTCACAAAAAAGGCCGAGGTCTGCGAACTCGCTCAAGAAGAAACGAAGATATCCCCCACGTCTTAGTAACGTCGACAGAAGTTCGGCGCAGACCAGAGAGGTTTGAATTGGTATTTTAGCATATTGAAAGATTTCATATTTGGAAATTCGAAAATATACATCTTATTATCCAGCATTTTGCATACCAGTTAAGAGAATTGCAGGGAACGACTATTTAGATGTAAATTTACAATTACCACCACTTCATGGAAATAATTATTCATTTGTTGTAGTTTAATATCAAAATAGTAAACTTTTATCTAAAGCACAACAACGATGATCGCGAAAGAAGGTTCTTTTGTGACCTCCATTCTTTTAACAGTCGGCAAAACGTCATGTTAAGTCAACTGCCAAATTATCTTTAAGCGTTTACAGAGGCTTCGAGAATCTCATTAAAGCCTTTTGTCGCCAGGTAACAGTGAGCGGTGTTACTGTAGTTATAACAGAGTATAAACCGAAGAAGTCAGTATCGAGCAGCTCCAGCGACATGGAATCATCGAATGACGCGCGACCATGATTGATCATCAACCCCCACCTTCCCATACTGAGACTCACTCCGCTCTCTTTAAAAGACATCACAAAACGTCGATCTTTCGAAACATAATTCAATAGTTGTTTTTATTTATGACGAAATAAGTTATAGATTTACTTTAGTTTTATCAATTTATATACATTACGTAATAAGAATGCACAATGTATGTACAGTCCAGGAAATTGGCGGTACATCACTCTCACGCGATTATTGCTTGCGCTAGGTTTTCACAGTTCTTAGAAGTGTTACTAATAGAGCAAAAATTTGAAGAGGATTTGTATACAAAGTAGTATACGCAAATTTCTTTGACGGTACAATCGGACAATTGGATTTCTTATAATAGTACCGCTATAGTTACTAGAAAAAAATCGGTCTTATTTCAATGTTTTTTTTTTATTTCTTCACAACTATTCATGAGTTGTTCAGCTAATTTTTTTATTGATTTGGATTAGCTGTTGCATTCTAATCTTTCGGTTCGATAGTAATTTTAAATCATTGTTTTTATTGTTCCTTTTATACATCACTTTTTTATATCTACACATTATTTCGTGTATAATAATATTTTATGTGTATATTTGTGACACTATATTAATGATGATCTAGATCAATATAAGAAACTAATATAGAAACTTATCGTCTATTTAATAACGCTATAAGTTAATGTAAAAGTTTTTTTTTTTTAATATTTAACGATCCTATTGTATCGGCCAATTAATTTTACCTTAAAATTATAAATATAATCACGCTTCTTATACCGTAACAGTGATATTAATAAACAAGGTTTAGCGTCATAGTAAATTTACACTAAAATTTTAATTTTAGTATTAGTCCTAATTTATATTATATAGAGCATAAGCAAACCTACTACCTCGAACTAGGTTAGCCTTTGCTAAGGCTGTTTAATAATATGGATTTTGACTAAAACTAGGTGCAGTCCCAGCGTAAAGTTAATCCAACGCTAAACCTTGTTTATTAATAAGTAATAACACTGTATGAGTTGAGCGGAGCTTCAGGTAGGTAGGCAAGGTGTCTCAGCCACCGATGGTGACTTTTGTATAATATTCATTAGATTATTAATCGATTCGTGTGTCGTCATTTAGAAGGTAATCGTTATGTCATTCATTGCCTGAAACAGGAAAGGTCTGTCGGCTTCATAGAAGACAATATAAGACTACATTACACTGTTTATCTGTGGTTTTTACGACTGAGAAATCGTTAGCCCTTTAATAGAAGCATCAAGCGTCAGATCTATAGCTAAAATAACGATATTTACCAATTTTACCCCAGGTATATTTGTGGCACCAGGTATTTAGTGCCAGTAAATGGCAACCAATCTCTCTCTCTCTCTTTCTCTCTCTACGGGTTATACTAAGGATAGTTATGAAATTGGTTGCCACAGTATTTGCATAGGTACCGATAGCGGAAGTTGTTAAATGTCGTAGTTTTACGGCTAGAACTAGACCTTTTAATTTAAAAAGAGTGTTACTAAATTAATCGATTACTATTACGTATAAGATATATAATATCCTTTGCTTCTAATTTATTTTCTTATTTTAAATTCGCATTGGTAAGGATAAGATTTGTATATAGTAATGGAAACCAGCGGCTCACTGCCAAAGTGATTTGTATATATATAGATTGATCGGGCAGTAGGGAGAGGATTTGTATCGGACTGCTCTTACCAAAATATTTTTACAGTAGTTAATTACGTACATACTTTTGTCGTCTCATGTGACGTATTAATTATATTATATTTTTTAACATCAACTTTATGAACAGATTTAAAATCTCTCATTTGCAGTGATTACACGAATTAAATAATAATAGGATGAATTTGCTTTATTTTTAACAAATTATTTATCAAATGTGTGCACGGTGCATAAATTATTTGCTATGCCAACATTTTTTATTGGATACTTTAATTAGTTGTGTAAATTAAATAATCTTTGGTTATTTAATTTATTTGTAACTTACGTGTAATAAGTTTTCAAGGAAATAAAATGCAATTTGAATATGAAACTGTATAAGTTTGGATAAGAACTGCGACTATTTATGAATTGAGATATTATAAGAACTTTTGTAATTAATACAAGCACAAATTGTGCAAGGTGTTGTTTTGATTATTTCTGGTATCTTTTATTAATCCTGAAAAATGCAGTAATTTTATAAATGAGTCATTTTTTTGCGTCGTACGAATTCAGAGCAGCTATGTTATGTTTGTAGCTCTGTGAAGGTTTGATTGCAGTTTGCGCCTGTCACAATCGGTATAATGTTTGCACTCGCAGACATGTGAGTAGGTAACACTTTGAGGTTGTCAACGACCGCTTCTACTATGATGAATGTAATTTAGTCTTTTGTTCGTTCTCCCCGTTTTCTCCCAAATATTTTCATTTCATACAGTTTCACCAATTAATGCCATTTTAGTTGGCTATATTTTTTGGCACTTAATGCGATTAATGACATCCAAAAGTTCTTATTACTACTACTACTCATTAATATTATTTACCTTCGTAATTTCTGATAATGAATATTTTTTATAATAACGTTTTGGACTTTTTGCAAAATTCCAAAGCCATGACTGAAAAAAAAAATTTGTATAAAATATTTATGTGTAAAATACAATTACATCATCTTCAATATAAAAATGGAATAATTTAAAATAAACGCCGAGTAGTTTAGCTTGCACTTATCGTATGTTCCTGTAGTTTATAAGATTTTCAGCGCTATGTGGTATTAGGGTACAGATTGAGGAGGTACGCGACTGTCCTTCGATGCAACTTTATTATGAATGCAGTGGCCAAAGCGGGATGGTGCTAAAGCAAGCATGTAACGGCGTCTCACTTTACGCTGTCTCACTGTTTCGCGTATCATGACAAATTTGAGAAACGTTCGTTTTATATACACTCAAATTTCCCTTTTCTAGAGTGTGCTCATAAATATTTCACTCTCGACTCGATCTATTTCTTTCGAGTCTCTCGAGTATGTCATATACGCGTGCTGGTGTTACGTATTGAACCGTGGCGCACAATTTTGCCAACTCAATAGTAGTATATAGTGTGAAGGTTTTATTGAATGGTATTAGAACTAAGACTTTAGTAAATTATAAACAATGTTCATGGAATGTTCCGGTACGAACGCGAGTTCCTTGCGTGTATATTACCTATATAATATCCAATTTGTAGAATTTATCTATAATACAATCTGACTGAACATTAAATAGCAAAAACTCATGTGTTTTTATATAACGGCTAGTGTTTGTAAGTAATATGTATTTTTATTATATTAATTTAAAGTTTAGTTTCAATGATTCCGACAAACAGTATCGTATAATTGTTTTGTTGAAACGCATGGCTTCACTACGATACTTTTGGAAAGATTTCTATACAAAACATTCATCATGGAAAAAATTGCAGCAGTTTTTAAAGAACATATAATGTTTTAATGGACGATGAACATTAAAGTAATTGACACTGCCGTACTATTTATATAAATCCATAATATTAAAAATTTACCTATGAAGTTACTGTCTTTTTTAAATAGATACGAAAATATTCTTCTGAAGACATGATTTGTTGGTTTATTTATATTATTGTAATCGCTGTGCAAAATGATTTATACCTGCAATATTGGCCCAGTGGAGAACGTAATAGGGACTGAATTTCTTCTTCTATTCTATATCGAAAAAAATCAATAACTCAATAATTTCATAGGTGAATTAATAATATTTTAAGTTACCAAAAATATACCGGCCCTCTTATTGTGTTCCATGCCTTATGTAAGTATTTATTTATAGGTAAGAATAATTTGTTTATCACAAACTTTAGCTTTGGTGTTAAAATGTTATAGATCTTTTTATTTATTCATTCAAGATATAATAAATTTGCAATTTTATATAGATAGACTAATAAATACTGTCTTTTTAATTGTATTAGGATCAACAGACTGTCAAAGAATTTGGCGTTATTTTAATTTTCGCACAAAAGTAATAGACACTTCAACGTTATATTGGGATGAAACACAAGCGATCAATTATTGCCTAAAGGTGGCAGTACCGCCAACTTCCTTGACTGTACATTGCAGGTGATCATACTTTTTTTCATTGGTAGTACCTGTTTATTGGTAGTATGTAGTATCACAATTGTCTGTGAACAGTTTTTCGTAAATAAATTACATACTTATGCCCTTAGCATGAAAATTAACGAGTGTGAATCTATCGATATATTATGTCCTATTCTCATAAATGTTTTACATACCGCGACTTGCCTGAAAAAGAGATGTCCGTTCATTTCAAAGTAAAAATGAAACTCGATGATTTTTCGTATTTTTCATTCTGAAACTAACTTCAGTGCGATACTAACTCGATGACTTGGAAAGTTCGCTGTGAGAGTATTTCTAAGTGATTCTTCTCAACTGCTGGTCCTTATTTCTCCTTGACACTTCTAATGTTTATCTATAGCCTAACCTCATCTATCTTCGTGAGGTAGATAGAGACAACATCTGATTTCTTAGATCTCTATCGCTTCTTCTGCTCGCATCAACCACTGTCACTGTAACTTGGATTATTCTTCTCAGTGTTCTCATTTCGTTTCTTCTACAACCAACTTTCTTTTCTATACATCAGTGTTGGAACTAAAACTGCCATGTTAACCAGCTGAACCTTGTCCAATAACTTCTGGCCATAAAAGAATCTTTTCATTTCATTTTCATATTTCACCCACCTTTTACGTATAAATATAGGTAGGAAGCTTAAACTGTATTTCGCACTGTAAATTAATAGTGAAACTTATATTGTTTTTCATGAAGTCTCTCCAGAAAGTAGGGAAAGGTACAAAAATGTTAACATGATGTAATGTAAATCGTAGAATTGAATTTTTTGAAATTAATGTAATACAGTATTTATTTTCATTATCATGTAGTTGCATAGGTGAAAATTCTATTTTTGTCATAACTTGGGTTGGTATTTTGGATGCGATTTTTTAATGAAATTTCTATTATGTATCATCAGTTTTTAAGACGATTTTCCATTTACAAAGTGTTGTAGATGTCACTAGTTCCAAATAGGCTATTTAAAATAGGCAAAGGAATAACCTATGACACTATTAACACTTCTGTAAGTGAAAAAGTTTATTCCCGGTTATTGTGTGTGGGTTGTGAAATATTGCGGGTACATGTGTACTTGCGATATGAGTATTAATCTACCCGTAATAATTTACAAGAGGGATTTTCGCAAGGAGACGAGAATGTCAAATAAAACGGAAAATCGACCTTATTAACTCGTGAAGATAGTACATAGTATTGTGGTATGAGCAGCATTGTAATTTTAACTGAATGTGTTAATTTAGTTCTAAATGTTAATTATTTTTAAGTTTTCTGTATTAATGTACTATACTGTATATAAAGGACGTGGAAAAGAACTTGTTTTTTTTATATATAATAGGGATGATGACTAATTATTGTTTGTTTGTCCGTCAGGTAGAGTGTTAAAAAATATTAAACACGTATTTTTTTATTTTTTGCGTAATCATAAAATTACGGCGTTACATTGAGTTGAAATTTCGCATGACGTCACGTTAGAGTACGTTTTCTACACAACTGTGACGTAGCGAGCCCCCACTCCTCAACTTTAATGCCTGTTATTTAAGCTGTTTCTTGTTAAATTGAAGTAAAAAAAAAATACGTATCTAATATTTTTCTATTATCTGACTGACGGACTAAACAGAATTGCATTTTTTTTTACCCAGTCATCATCCCTATTTTAGAATATCTCGTTCCCTTGCTGGATTATGAATATTGAGGAAATAAACATCCACAAATGACTTACACTTGTCCACTTAGAATAGTTTTGAGTTTATAATGTAACACATAAAAACTGTACTTCGCGTGCTAAATTAAAAACTAAAACTGAGACTGAAAAATTTCACCTTATACGAAAGAGCCAGCGGTCATCCATGATCGGTCCATACAAAGCGAAGAGTTCCGATGTTGCCATGTGTGCTAAAATGCGTTTGAATTTTACAAAAAAGTAAAAAAAAAACACAAAATTGCTGCTGCCGGCGCCGAAAAAACAAAAGGCGATGAGATATTTTTTTTTTAATTTTTAAAATATTCACTCTAGGGTTACGATATTCAAAATCGCCATAGATTTGGCTAAAAAAATAAGGCTGAAAAAGGGTTTGATTGAAAAAACAAAATGGCGGCCAAGATATTTCACTTGTAAAATAGGCATTTTTCGACCTCTGTTCGGGCGACCGTCATTTGTATAATGGTGGCGGCTCGGGTGTAGTCGATTTTCACGTAGGAGGAGTTTTCGTTTGCGAGTCAGTATGGCAGCGGCGGTGGCGGCCATTTTGTTTCGGCAATGATAAATCGCCATTTTCCAGTGAGATTTTCTCCAAGATGGCGGCGCCGGACGGGTTCGCATTGTATGGGTTGGTCGTGAGGCTCGGTTGAGTCTTTCTACTTTGCTACTAATTTCTACCATTTTCGTGGTACTTTTTGAGATTTAGGGAGAAAAGTGAAATTTGGAAATATGCTCTTGTCGCGGAAAACGGTCTCGATGCAGTGTGGCGCCGAAGGAGCCCTATGACTTTTGGTAGTTTTCGTTTCTCCGAGCAACCCTGGGCTCCAAGGCAAAACATTTTTTCGACATGCCCTCATTACCCGAATTTATTTGGAATCTGGATGGCTAGCGGAGAAAATCTGAGCAGAGGTCTCGCGCCGAACACAGTCGTGACTGTGGGAAAATTATGAAACTCGGGAAAATCAATAACATTTTAGATTTTTTGTAAAAAAAAAATTTTCTTGAGTATTATCCGAAAAGACAATTCTTTAACTATTTCGCTGCCTTCCGTCGGTAATGAGGAATAACATTCTGAAAAACAATTTTTTCATACCCTTACACTTTTTGTGTTAAGATAGGATACTTTAAGATTTAAAGCATCTTGATTTAATTAACAATTGTTAACGCATTATAATTAAATCATTATTTTATGAATACATTTGAAATTTATGTCCTAGAAAAAAGTGGGAAGTATACATGCGACATATAAATACAAAAGGGCGTGCACATAATTACTTCGTTTGTGATTTTTCGTCAGTATCATGC